ACGTTAATACTTTTTTTTTTGGCAAATCAAATGCAATTGCTGACTAGTATTCACATAAAGTGAACATGCAATGGCATGTTGCAAAGCTTCCGGTACATGTAAACATGTACATTTACATGTACAGTGCATGTATGTCGCATTGAACTGAACATTCTGCCTTTTCACACTGGAGCCTCACAACCCGGGATAACTCAACCCTGGGCGAACCCAACCCTGGTCAACCCAACCCTGGGCGAACCCAATGCTGCTCCGGGTTGAGTTTTGATTTTTCAACCCCGCATCATTTCACACTTTGTCTTGTTTCATGCAAACCGAGCTCCTTTTGCTCGGTTTAATACTACTGTTTTAAACCCTGCAAGACTTTCAACCCGGGTTGAAAATCTCAACCCTGGTCTGGAGCAGGGTTGAGTTCAACCTGGGGTGAAATCAATCTCAGGGTTGACGCAGGGTTGAACATTTTCAAGTGTGAAACGCCGCATGTTTTCAACCCCGCGTCAACCCCGAGATTTGTCTAGTGTGAAAAGGCCTATAATATGTGAACCCAGCAGTTTGCTGTTGATATTAAAAACAAACATTAATTAATTGTCTTGGTGGAAAAATTATTTGTAGATAACAGATCAGCTAACCGGCCTGCTAGTACCTCTGGCATCGTACATGTACATGTACGTACATATGCTGAAATTGCTTGTAATTAGAATCTGTGGTCCACTCCATTCGTGTATTTAAGGCTGATTTATTCAAGTCTACCAGCATAAAATTGGAAAAAAAACCCCAAACTTAAAGGGAATTTACATCATTTGCTTTTGCTGTAATTTTCAAAAATGGATGGAATTGGGGGTTGGAAATATATAGCAAATATAGTTGCACTGACTTTTTTGAGGTTTTGGGTTCGAAAATGCTATAAAAACCAAGGAAAACAATCATTTTCCTGTAGTCTGGTTCCCTGACTCCATATAAGAAGAAACAGAGCAGTTTACATACATTGGGGAATTAGCTGGCTTGTACCCGTTCATAGGTGTGTAATCAATTGCAAACAAGTGCGATGGTCAATTGGGGCCAGTATTTGAAAAAAAGCCGGTTTTTCCAACGCTGGTCGGCCGACCAGCGTTGGAAATTGATACAAAAATACCACTTTTCTTGAAAATGACAGTATACCAGGTGCCATGATTTTACAGGATGCTTTACACTGTCATTCACTAACATTCTAGCAAGGTATTTCAAAATGAAATGGTAGTTTTATTTTTTGATGTTTGCAAATGTTGTATTTTCCCTTTAACATCTCTGGGAATTCACAAATTTCTATTTTCATGAAATTAATTAATAATCTACTCCCTAGAGGGCCAGGTAAGTTTGAAGTGTTGGAGCTCAGTCAAGAACAATTATCACTTCACAGCATGAGGTTTGATTGACATCATGTCAGTCACATTGCGACACCTTTTGCTGTCAGTTCTCGCATGAGGATATTGGAATTAGCAACATTGCCTAATCCCAGGAAACAATGAGGCAACAATTCAGGAAGTCATTATAGATTATTGGACATCCTGTATACTGCAAACCAGGAAGTAACAGACTGATAAATTATACAGACTGACAAATTGGTACAATAGGCCTGATGAGCTGATGGATTATTTCTATGAACAATTTGGGACTGTCCAGCATAATGTAGGTTCGTATAATTTTATTGAACTTATATAAATCTGTTGACAAAAATGGCAGCACAATTAATTTCCCTGATCTCACTAAAATGTAAAACATCGATGTGTACGAACACATGTGAAAGTACATGTTTACACATTGTCACCATTTTTTTTTAACCCACATTTGTGTACTTTGGCGGGCGTCACCGCCTTAGGCCAAAAAAAAAGTCTCCGGTTTCTGGTATGCGCGCGCGTCGCCGTAGCCATGCGCGTCGGCAAAATGAAAAAGTTTTTTTTTCAATGAAAGATGATGTCTCAAAACCGCCAAACTCACTGGTTTGACTGAAATCCTGCTGCTGCACAATTTTAACGTGTTTTTAAATGGGGTTATGATCGAGAATAAACTTTATGTGTCCTCTCTGGTCTCCCATAATATTTGCACTAAGTTTAGTCGGGCACCATTTGCACTTTGCAGTCATCAGCTGACATTTGAAGCAAAAAAAAACAGGTAAAAAAAAAAAAAAAGCCGCGTCGCCGCACCACTTTTTGGGCAAGCTCCATACCAGAAACCGGAGACTTTTTTTTTTTAGCCTTATGGGAAGTTTTTCATTGCTAGGGTAATTAGGACCGAGTTATGGGTACTTTCTGCTGTCCCCACAGTGTCTTCGGTCCCCATAGTATCATGGGACAACTTTAGTGTAGTCCCCACAACTACGAAACAAGTATTTCTATGATGAGTAGTATTTTGATCTGATACACCGTGCCCTCTGGAGACGTGTGTACAATAGGGAACAAAAGATTGTCTCTACAGGGCAATTTCTATAGATGAATACGTCTCCACAAGGTTTTCAAGAAATAGATATATGGATTTTACTCAAAAACTAGGAATTTCCAAGGTGGGTTGATCTGTTGCAAATGGAAGAGTTTTAGAAAAGGGATATTAAGTCCGAATTTCAGCCAAGGAAATTAATTCTGGTGAAAATAAGAGCATTTTGAAACTTCATTTTCAAACTCGAAAACTTTACTGCACGAGAACAAAGAAATGTCTCCACAAGGATACAAATTTCAGTATGTGTGCACACATGCTGACGTCAAGCTACATTTTAAAAGAGGATGTCCAATTTGTGACACATTTTAAAAATTTGGTGTCCAAATTATTCCAGTACTTTTTGCACGAGAACGGCACTTCACAGTCAAGACTGGGTAAATTAGAAAGAACACAAAACACTCTGGCTTAATTAATGATGGATTGTTATATTGTATTAACCCTAACCCTGCTAAATGCAACAGAAATGCAACTAAGGTAAAAAGTTGTTGCATACTGTTGCATTTAGCAGGCAACTCAAGTCCCAGTGCGTTGTTGCATCTTGTTGCATTTAGCAGGGTACACGTAACTGCTCATAGTGCCAAGGCGATGCAACACAATCCACTGTTGCATTTGGTTGCATTTTGGGTGCCAAGGCTGGTATGCACTGGGTTCACTGCACAATGCAACAGAATCCACTGTTGCAATTTGTTGCATTTAGCAGGGTTCTATCTCAGCCAAGTTGCATTTTGTTGCATTTGGCAGGGTGCCTAGAGACAACCTGTTGGGAGTAAGGGTTGAAGACAGTCTAGTCCTTCCTCCAAAACGAACAGCATATTTGATACATGTACATGTAAAATGAACATGTCTACACACATGCTGCATGTATCCTTGCATAATTCTTGCATACATGTATGGTGCAATATTGTCATGTATATAAACATGTACATAAATTTATATGTACAGCCACATATTGAAAAAGATTTTAAAATTATGGCACAAGCGATTTGTTGTCCTTGGCACGCCATATGCTACTGCAATAACAGGTTGTTCCCCCTGCAGCCCCACAGACTACGATAAGCCCCCAGTCTGTAGTGTCATGGTGTCTGAGGCACCCATCACATGGAGCGCTTGCATGGGGTCAGCCGAGGTCAGAGGTCGTCTGAGGTCGTGCAGTAATCACCACCACAGACTGGGGCTGAATGTTTGTGTTGCTGTGCGGATTGTGCACGCACTGCTGATTTATGCAGTAATGTTGGGATAAATCTTCCAGTTCACATGTTACATATTCCCCCCCCCCTACCAAAAGTGGAAAAATGTTTGATAAATGTCACAGAATTGTATGTAAATACCCCTTTCTATCAAAATTAGGAAAAATGGTCAGTAATGTTGATATTTTAATAAATAATACTATTTACTGCAACAGAATTAACCCATTAGCACTGGAACAAAGGTGTAAAGAAAATTGTTTGGTGTACTGTAAAACAAAAAGTCAATTCGGGCGATTCACAATGCAGTGCGCCACCAAGATATTGCCACAGAGAGTTCATTTTTCCCAGTGCATTGTGGGAGATGGTCGACAAATTCGCAGCGTGGGACATTTGAAATTGTTAGTTTTTCCGGTCAGTAGTTTCGTAAGCGTATGATTGAGTACATGTACATGTTTGCCCTTTTCTTTTCTTTTTATTAATATCATGTTTTTTGTAAGGCGGCAGAACGCTATGCCCCAATCTATAACAAATTAGCTCAAGTTGTCTACTGACACTCATTCAAATGGGCCGTGTTTTGTCGACCTTAAAATGGACTCTCCACAGCAAGCTCTTAGTGGCGCACTGCATTGTGAATCGCCCGAATTCCAGCGTTATGAAGGCAGTGTAATGTCTGTGACAGATCCAGTTAACCATGATATATCTAATGAAAGAATCAGTGAAAAACTCCTAGTCTGTAATCTCCTTGACCATTGCTAGATGATGGATGAAACAATTGGAAATTTAGACATTTTCAGCTGTATTTACTGAGCTCTAAACAAAACTCTGTCACAGACATTGTAATAACTCTGGAATTGTCCATAATGCAAAATATTATTGAAAAATATTTTAATGTAACCCCCCCCCCCCCCAAAAAAAGATGCAAAAACATGTTCAGCTCATGGTTGAGCCCATATTGCTGATCCACAGTCTGTGCATTGTGTTAAAGTGCAGTCTCAGTAAAATCAAGTTTAGGGCCTATTAGGCAGTTTCACGAAGATAATGCAAGATGCATGTAAGGAAGACTACGGTGCTTACATTGTAAATTTTTGTCAATTATTCAAACAATTTAAATACTCATAATATCAATATGTCAATATATCCAAAATATCCAATCCAAAATACCCAAATTAAATAGGGATAATATTTATTTTCACCAGCAGATTTGAAAACTATCTTGACTACATCCTTTCAAAAGGTTTCAATATCAGCGCTGAGGAAAGTAATTAAACATGTTCATGCAGTTCCATGTCTACACTAATTAGCACTTTATTTGTTTATGCAAACCACTTCAATAAACCATGGCGCTATAGAGCCGTCTCGCCCACGTCATGTTACCGCAGCAACGCACAGCGCCCTCCATATTGGATTACAGGGACGTTGACGGCGCGAAGTTTATAACACGTAAATAGGCTACAGACGATCCCGAGTACTCGACTTGCAAGACAAGTTAGTGTCATGATTCATTGATCTCCAGTGCTGAAGTGCTTGCTGCTACCACTAAATCGACAACTGTAGCGGGGATGTAATTCCAGGTAGGCCTACTAATCATAAGATTTCAGTGTCATGAAATCAAGTCCGAAATAAAAAAAACGGTGGCGTCCGGAAATTGGGCACAAATTCAGCTGGGTGTTCCGTAAGTAACGAGTAAACGTGCAGACTTGGCGCACTTGAACAAATCTCTGAAAATCCCACATTAACATTTAATAATTTCTTTAAAATTGATAAATTCAGATAAATCATTGTAACCTCCAGTTTGTAAAATCATTTTCATGTGTTGGGGCGCATTTTAAAAGAGTTCATTGTCATTGTGCACTTCGAAAAAAAAATCAGAAAATAACGCCAAAATAAAATTTCATTGGAACTTTGTAAATATGTTTTGTTCATGTATTGTTTGACTCAGGCCTAGCCCTATTCTCGATTTTGATCCTCTGTTTAATGCATTGTTTACTGCAATACACGTCCAAATGTAAACAACGCATTATACAGAGGATCTAAATCGAGACTAGCCTAGCCCTAGCGTTAGTTCAGTATTTGACCATAATGACATTTCTTTTGTACAAAACATGGGACAGGCTGAATATTTAGGTTTTTCCTACTCATAGTGAAATCATCACATTTTTCATTGCTAATTTTTATCCCATCTGAACTGCACTTAGCCTTTGGCCTAAGTTATTGTTTTTATTTAGGGAAAAAATGTAATTGTCAATTAAATCAAGGGCAAACACTGCAAAGGTTGATTTATAATGTCAAGTATTGCCCTGTATGAGCTTGATGAGAGCTGGCGATCACCAGTAATTTGTGTGTGTGTATGTGTTATTACTCTGCAGATTGAGCACCATTAATTTTGCTTTTTTTGTGTTCTGTTTTTATTTCGCAGTTGACTGTATGTAAACCTGTTATCATGGCAGCAAGATCAACATACTACCAAGCCCTGGATGGCCCTGCAAAAGTCCGATATAACAAGATTCTGCAGTGTATTGATGACATTGATCCATACACAATTAGTTTGCGGTCATGGAAAGAGGATCCACATTCTCTTCCTCAAATATCGTATCCTGACATTGTTAATTTTCTAGTGTATACTCCTAGTCCATACACTTTGGAGGACTTGAAATGCTATAAAGGCCTGGATGCGTACAACCAATTCGTAAGTGGATGGGTTCGTAATGTCGTTTCTACCGTCATCAACGGCAAGCACGTTGTTACAGCAAAGGTAATAAACTAAGACTTGGTGGAAAAAAAATTATGTGCCCTTAATGTAAACTTTCTGTAATTCACTCCCCATCAGTGCACACCATAAGAAGATGCTACTTTAATACAGTGCAAGTCTTTAATTGTCCTTGTTATGAAATATACAACTTTTTAAGGAAAACAAATATCAGATCTTTACATTCCATATTTTGTACATTGGTCTTGGGCATGTTACTTCGTGTGATATTCTTTCTGTTTGGTTTACTGAAAATGTTTTGTAACTTTTTTCTTAACACTTGCAGGTGATGCATTCACAGAGACTGCGGGAGGCGGCACTCAAGCCATGGTTAATTGCAGAAAAGTGTGGGAAGATCATCGCAACCCACTGCAACTGCATTGCTGGTCTCGGAGAGGCTTGTACTCATGTCAGTGCTTTGATGTTTTACATTGACACAAAGGTGCGTATCAGAGATAGCAAAACAGTAACACAGGAACCAGCTTACTGGAAGATTCCATCTGCTGTAAAGGATGCCCAATACTTACCTGTAGCTCAAATAGACTTCACATCAGCCAAAACCAAAAAGAGGAAGCTTGATATGTTAGTTAATGATGGTTTGATGCCACCTCCACGGAGCAAGGTGCGGAAGATAGTTCCTGGGCCTACTGATGCTGAACTCACAACCCTCTTCTCGCAGATGAATGCAACAGGAACTAAGCCGGCACTCCTCAGCGTTGTACCTGAACACTGCCACCAATTCAAACCATCACATACTGACAACATCCTTCCACCAATTCTAACCGATCTGTATAACCCTCAGTACTCAACTCTCTCATTTCCTGACCTGCTTAACAGATGCAACGAATTTCAGCTGACAATTACCCAAGAGAAGGCAGACAATGTAGAAAAGGCAACAAGAGCACAATCATCCAGCAAGAAATGGTTTCGTTTTCGATCAGGCCGCACCACTGCATCAAAGATGAAGAATGTTTGCAGGACTAATCCAGACCAACCTTCTCAATCACTCATTCAATCTGTGTGCTATCCAGAGTCGTGCAGGTTTTCTACAGCTGCAACCAAGTGGGGATGCTCCCATGAAATAGAGGCACGGCAGGCTTATGTGGAAAGAATGGGAGAAGTGCACCATAATTTTGATGTTAAGGACTCTGGCTTGGTAATTAACACAAGTTGCCCCCACATTGGGGCTTCCCCAGATGGGCGTATTTCCTGTGATTGCTGTGGGGAAGGTGTCCTAGAAATCAAGTGTCCATTTTGTGCTCGTGACACTCAAGTCAATGAATATGCATCCCTACAAAATACATGCCTTGTAGCAAATGATAACGAGGTTTCTCTTGATAGGAAACATGCATACATGTATCAGGTTCAAACACAAATACATACTTGCTCTGTTGACTATGCTGACTTTGTGTTGTGGACAAATACAGATGTCCATATCGAGCGAGTTGAGCCTGATGCAAATATGTGGGATGAAATTCTAGAAAAAAGTCGCGAGTTTTTCTACAAAGCAGTGCTACCAGAATTAATGGGCAAATTTTACACCCGTATCCCATCTGTTCACGATAAGCCACCAGCTACACACTGCTACTGTGGAAAATCGCAACCTGTGGACAAGATGATCTCATGCGCTAATGAAGGCTGCAAAATCACCTGGTTCCACCAAAGTTGCCTCCAGATAAAGAGACTGCCAAAAGGGAAATGGATCTGCCCAGAGTGTCGTAAAATACCACGGAAAAAGGAAGAATGAAATTTTTATTATAACAATAATTGGTTGTGCTTTTTAAGGAAAGTTGCAGAGAGTTTAATCACTTTCTTTTTTCCACCCCAAGGCAAAAAATGCATAACTTTTGGGCTAAAGCCATTCCCTGACAAAAACTAGGTTTTTTTTTCACTTTGAGAAAAGATAAAGGCTTTTGTGCAAAAACATGATCTTAATTGTCCAATGGGCTCCATCACTGTGGAAAGACTGTACCCTTATCCTTAAAAGAATACATTTAAAAAGGGCTCCTGCATGTACCTTACTTTTCCTAGTTGTATTAATTTCAAATGGGTGCAATCAAATGTACATGTATAGAAATCCCTTGTAACACACACCAGGCTGTAATAAAAACAAAGGACCTCTGATCAAAGTTTTTCTTTCTGTAACAGTAAGCAAGTGTTTTTATTATTGAGTTTACACTGTGCATACTCATACGACAATGCAGGTGAACACATTTCAGAAAATACTGTAGAAAGTTGCTCTAATGAACATTCTGCATCCGTGAACATGACTCATGGCTCTCAATGTGTAAGTTACAGTGTATCTCTTTGCTTCCTATAGTCTATAGTACATGTATAATGATCACCCACAGTAACAACAACTTTTGATGGATCCCAAGGTTATTCGTTATCTACTGTACTGTAAAATTGACTTCTCTTCAAGGGCGTGCCTTATGGCAGAACCCACAATTGTAATATACAAAAATAAATAACATTCTTGTTATGTATACATGTCCAAAGGATGTGTTTCTCTGGTTCTTCCCCCCCCCCCCCCCAATAAATATATATATATTTAGTTTAAATAAATATATATATAAATAAATATAATATAAATAATATAATATATATATAATATAATATAGATGTAAAAACAAAAGTAAAACAGTGCTCAGCGGATAGTAAAATCCAAGCTTTCAGTGCAAAGCACCTTCATCGGGGATACATTTTATAATATAATATATATAATATATATAAATAGATATATCCAATGAAAATGGCATCCATCACAATCCAATATATGATTAATATAATATATATAAATAAATATAATAAATAAATGAATGAATAAATAAAAATGTACATATATAAATAAATGAATAAATAAATATAAATACATGATCATAATTAAAATAATACACTGGTTAAGATAAAATGTGTTTGGAAATGGCCACAACAATGAAAACTATATACACCGGTTATAAAAAAGAATCACAACATTTACACTGCCATCCACCACCGCATTAGGCATTTATACAAAATAAGCTTATAACTCATCATGGGCGGGGGCCAGCAGCTTCTAGAGTGGCGTGTTCGATTATAAATCATTAAATGTCCTCTTCAATAAGACAGAGGTTTTAGCCAAAATTCAATACAATAGATATTTCGTCACCACCACGAGTGTTTTGTTTTTCCATGAAAGTCGACTTTCATTCATTTCTAATCTATTTTTATGTGCTCATTTTATTTTTTATTGTTGGACCATATTTCTTGAAATTCAACCCCCCCCCCCCCCAATGTGAATCATATCCATTCACTAATATGAAGAAGTAGACATTCGAATGGATGGAGTTATTGGAGTAAGGGTTGCTATAAATCATATGATCCAACGTTACTTTCTCTCAAATGGTTTGTGACAGATTATTTTGGGAAAAACCACAACAAATAGCATCAATGCTATTATGACAGAGTGTTGTAATGACTTGGACTCGAGACTCGGGACTCCAATCGACTCAAGTATCCAACCTCAAATGACTTGACTTGGATTCGCTTCACTTTTTCAAATGACTTGACTTGGATTCGAATCACTGTCAGAAATTACTCGACTTAACTCTGACTCGAGTCTGCCAAAACAGATTTTTTTTTAAGATAACAATTTAAACTTAGCTTGAACGAAGTTACTGCAGTGACAACTTGACTTGACCCGACTTCACCAACATGCCTGTGTTGATTTGATTTGACTAGGGATTTGAAGGTACATGAACATGTACATGAGTTTGACTTGACTTGGCACTCGAAGGCAGTTCAACTGGACTTAACTTGAGACTCAAGCAGAGGGAGACTTGTTCTAAAATTGTTATGACATGGAAGAAAAATAGGCAATAAAGATTGAAAAATTGCTTCAATGACACTTGTGTCTGGAAAAGCAAAAATCCATTCAGTCAAAAGGAACAACTGATGGGCACATGTTGGTCAAAGAACAAGATACAACGGTGATTTTGTCCAGAAGTGTAACATTATCATCTCTGGAAATGACAAAATCCATGGGAATTGTGCTGTGGAGGATGGTATATTTCTGGCGCAGATGTCCTATAACTCGCTCCACATGAATTCTGGAGTTTGCTACTCTGCGCGTGTTTTCAACTTGCTCTCCAGATAGTCGTGGCCCATCTCTTCTAAATGCAGGGAGTACAAGCTTAGCACCCATCATTCCAACGCTGTCTGAAACATCAAATCCCCTGTCTGCCATCACAACATCCCCTGGACACAACTTGTGGAGGAAAGATGAATGTTCAACCACGTATTTGTCGCTTGCTCTTCCACCCCAGCCTTGTGATAAATAAGATATGACTCCTTGAGGGGTGATGCCGATTAAGTATTTAACAGTGTTGTTGTGTTTGTACGAAGACCATGTTGACGTTCGTGCTGCAAGATTGGACGGCCTTTCTAAAAATATTTCGAAGCAATCGATAATAACAGTTATCTGTTTGCCAAAGTGTGTCCTGAAACTCATGGGCATAGTTTCCCACAGCTGTTCCCGATCAGGCCAAAATATGAGTGGCTTCAGTCTGATATACATGATGTTAATAATGTTCAAAAATGTTTTAGATGCTGTAGACTTATGCACATTAAACCTCTGCCCAAGGTCCACATATGTAGGATTCAGTCGGAGTTTTATGAGGCACAACACTAGCTGCTGAAATTTTGTTAACTTGTTCAAACAGCTGCACACAACGAATGTTTCTAGGTACGTAAACAGAACATCCAAAATGGCAAAGCTTGACAATCCTGTGAAATGCTTCACATTTTCATCATTATCTTGGAAGAACTGCCGATCAAAATTATTGTTACTCTCAGCCAGCTGCTCTTTCAATTTTCGGTTTTCCTCTAACAATCGCTGTAATTCCGTTTGTGTGGAATTCATGGAGTTGCTATCCAAGTCAGTTTGGCAGGCCTCTTCGGAAGTGGACTGTTGTCGTTTGGGGGTCTTGGGAACTGAATGAAGCTGGAGAAGAGCCTCGGCGGCATCCAATTTGGACTTCTGTCCCTGCCTGTAGCAGCGTCTTTGGTACCTCTCCAAGTCTCGAGTGGCAGTTGCACCATCTATGTTGCTGTGACCAAGCTTGACAGTTGGTGCCCAGTCTGGATTGGTATTATCATACAATGCAGAGGGCTTTCCTACAGGGAATAAAATACAAAATAAGTTAACAAATTGTTCATTCAAATAACATTATAGTGGGTGGACCCCTATTGATCACAAAAAAAGGGTTGGTTCCATAATCCTTTGTTTTTTACTCCCAACTGCACATACGTAACAATGCGCCTTGTTTTTCTTTCGTGACCTTTGACAATGCATGTGCTACTACGTTCACACAAAGGCTTTTTGTGTGCATCTCATCTAGGCGCTTGCGTCAAGCAGGTCTGATATCGCGCACTCTGCATGTGTCCTGCACTGCTCCCTGTAGGATGCCATCTTGATGTTGATCACCGTTGTCAGGCATTGTGGGTATTGTCAAAGGTCACGACAGAAAAGCAATGTGAGCAGTTAGGGGTTACGTATGCGGTTACAAAAAGGGCTAATGTACAAGAAATTGGCAGAGAAAATGAGCGTTGATTTTCATATAATATCCATTATCCAAGCACTATCTCAGAATCTCAGAATGTTGACTGGACATCGCTGCTAGGCATCATCATCCAACTATGGATTTACAATCTTGTTGAAGTGCAGGCTTGATGAAAAAAAAAAAAATTAGCGAGGAAAAATATTGCAAAGAATTCCATACCCAGCCACTTCCATGCACAAAACCTACACTTACGGGACATGCCAATGTTTCCTAAGAAAATCTGGCAAAAATCTGAGCGCGGTTTGCTCACAGTCACAGGTACACTTAAACTTTAAATTTGTGTCAAAATCCCCATCCTGGGGCATGAAAAACATAACGAAAACCCCAAATAAGGGTCGGGATAGTGCAAGGAGGTGGAGAGGGCCAGGGGAACATTAAGTCCATGGAGTACCACAGAATAAAAGATTTTTCATAAATTTCAAAGAAAAACTTTAAATTTTCTCACTCCTGTAACTGTAGTGTAATATTAATAATATTATTAAAATAATCATTTTTAGGAAAGAATTCCATATACAGACTCCTCCTCAGACCTTCTGCACAAACTGTATGGGCCATGACAGAAAAAAGTCAAGGTGTTTTCTGACAAAAAATCTTGATTCAGTTTTCCCTCCTAAATTTGCGTTTCTTCATCAGATTTACAACTTTGGGTACTTAATTTCAAGTCATATTTAGGAAAAATAAGAGGAGTCCGTATACGGAATTCCTTTTACTCAAATAACTCACCGCTTGTAAAATGGTCCGAGCAGACCCGTACATACGGCAAGTTGCTCTCTTTAATGTCTCGGGCGATTTGCGACAGCCATTTAGCGCGTCTGCTCTGGGAGAGTTCCAGAGTGGCAGCTCCTTCTCGGGTCAAAACGGCGGGCAGCCGAAAAAAAGATTTTTTGTCCCGATCCCCCCTGTTGCTGCAGCCAATAATTGCGCAAAAATTCACCATTTCTATGTCTTACACTGCTTGGAAACATAGAAAATGTCGAAACAGCAACCAACTGACAAAAGTGTGTACGCTGCGCTACGCTACCGTCACGTACGAACGTGGGTACGGGTACTTGTTTTGTGTGCGTTTTGTTGTTGTTATGTTGTAATCCAACATGGCCGACCAACAAAACAATGACGTCACCCTCGCGCCCTCTATAAACTAACAATGCAGTTTCTTGTAGACACTTCTTATCAGTGCCCAACCCATCTCATATTATTGAATGTCAGTCCAAGTTGGATCCAGATATTTTATACTCTGGGGGAGCTATGTGAAGAATGTTGGGCAGATAATGAAGGGACAGTGGGCAGTAAAGTGGGCCCATGGGTCTTATAATAAGCCACACATTCCTTGCGGATGGACTGAAGTGTCCAGCTTAACACTGACCAGTGTTATTACAATTGCAATATCTTGTGTTTTACATAAAGGAGCGTCCTTGGGAAGATGATAAAGTGTAGAAATTTTGTGCTTTGCAATAAGCATGTTTACCAGACAGAGTTTCAATTGAGTTAGGCCCCTATATTTTTTTGTGACTAGTTCTCCATTTTTGTTTTAT